CCTTTTGTCTCTCTCTGCATCAGCTTCTCTGTGTTCCTGTTCTCTGATTTCTACTCCATTAACGGCCTCTTGCACCTCATCCAATCTGCTCTTAAGTCCTTCCAGAGATTGTTTTATTTCTGTATTCTCCCTCCCAACTTTAACTCTTGCATATTTCTCTGCAGATCCATCAGCATGGTTATGACCTTTATTTTGAATTCTTTTTCGGGAAGATTGGTTAAATCTATCTCCCCAGGCCCTCTCGGGGGTTGTCTGGGTAATTTTGGACTGGACCAAATTCTTCTGCCTTTTCATGGTGACAGAGGTGGCTGTAGGCAGGTGGCGCACGTGTCAGCTGGGAGAACAAAGTCTTTTCCTGCTTGCTGGTTGCCTTGCCCTTCTCTGCTGCCTGTGTTGGTTACCTGCACTCCTGGAGCAGCCTCCGGGTTAATCCCCTAAACTGCTGTGGGCGGGGTCTCTGTCAGGGTAGGGCAGAGCCCTGTGGGGAGTGGTAGAGGTGGGCCGGGTGTGCTCTCCTGCAAGAGCAGTGCCCCCGTTGGGCAGCTGTGCGCTGGCAGCGGCCTTTGGGTCTGGCCTGGGTGGCTGTGCAACAGGAGGAGATTCTGGGCAGCTGCTGGGGTTGCATTCGCTCCTGGGACGCTCCGTCGCTGCCGTGGGCTTGCGCAGGCCACTTGGTTGGCCGCCGCCAAGGTGGACTTGTGTGGGTCACTGCTGGCTTGCACAAGGCCGCTCCTGGGCCCCTCGCTCGGCTGCTGCCACCGCCGCTGGCTTATGTGGGCTGCTCACTCGGCTGCTGCTGGCTGACACACACCGCTCCTGGGCCGCTTGCTCGGCTGCTGCCGCCAGCTCGTATGCTACTGGGCCGGTGTGTCGGGGTCCGCACCGGCTGGGGAACGATTGGCTGGCTGCTTATTGCTGTGAGGGGCTTCAGAGCTGTGCTGCCACATAGGGAGGTAGGTCGCCTGGAGCTCCCGAGGATTCTCAAGCGCTGGGCTGAGTGTGCCGGGATGATTCCGTCTAGCTGTGAGGTCCCTGTCCCTTTAAGACTTTCAAAAAGCACTGGCTTTTCTTTTGTTCCAGGGGAGCCAGTTGTGGGGACCCGCTCTCAGACTTTGCTCTTCCATTTCTCTAGTATCCAGCACCCTGTGCATCGTGTGTCTGCGCTCCTGGTGTGGATTACTAGAGCTGGTTGTTTAGCAGTCCTGGGCTTTCACTCCCTCCAACTCCTTTCTTCCTGCCGGGGAGCTGGGGCTGGGGGGCTGCTCAGGTCCTGCCGGGCCTCGACTTGTGTCCTACCCCCTTCGTGTGATGCTGAGTTCTCGCAGATACAGATGTGGCCTGGCTGTTGTACTGTATCCACTGGTCTCTCTTTTAGGAATAGTTGCATTTGTTGTATTTTCAAAAATATATGTTTTTGGGAGGAGGTTTCTCATGAACTACTCATGCCGCCATCTTGACTCCCTCCTCACAAATGTTTTTTAAGAATCTCTTAAGATCTTAAGATTTTTCTTCTCCAACCAACAGATCCATGTGAATCATGGATTCCCTAAAGCACTTTGAAAAGCTTAAAAAAAACTATCTTTCTTTAGATCTGAAAAGCAAAAATTACTGAACTTAGGGGAAATAATTCTGTTGCTATACAGCCATCTAAAATCTTAATGGCACCAAAAGATTTTTTACTTAAAAATATGTTCATTAGTTATAAGTCTTCAATATGATTGACAGACAAGGAGGAAGGGAATCTGGCTGCAAAGAAAGTAACTCCTGTTTGCTCTGACAATGCAAAAAATCCCCTGAACATCTACTCATCAAAGCCTCTTGGGCTAGAGGAAGAGTGAAAAGAAGCTTCTTATCTTCAAGAAAAGTTACAATTAAACACACTGAGAAGGAAAAAAACACTTTCTTGGTAATGAACACTAATGTTTCCCTGCAGGTCATGCAATGAAAAAAGTCCCAACTCTTGGTTTCTTTCTATCAAAAGCTTCAGTTTTATCAAGAACTACATTGGAACCTCACCTATAAAGTCATTCCACCTCTCAAAGAACTCTCGTTAGTCCAGGTCTCTTATAGAACACTAAATTCTATAACACTAAGTCCTCTTCTCTTCAGCCTACTAACTCATATCCTGGATAGCACTTTTGTCCCCTTCTGATCTTTCTCCGTGTCTTAGGAAGGTAATGGTTGTAAAATGGAAATCCGAGTCTTTGGTCCTTGTTTATAACATTCCCATGGTTTGCTGCTATCTTAGGAGCAGCCCAACCTGTACCGTGGCTGGAAAGCCTCAGTATGACCCAAAGTCCCTTCTTCCTCTCCAGTCAACATGCCCTTCACCTCAATTCAATGTTTCAGCCATATACGGTTCCTTGTGCACATCATGCTTTCTTAGCGCTGTGCCTTTGCATGCCTTTCTCTGCCAAGAACACAGTCTTGGGCCATTCAATTTCACCTGATTCCTAATTCATATTTCAAGTCTAAGTTTCAAAATCACTTCTTCTGGGAACCTTTCCTTGAGGATGGTAAGATGAAGTGCCCTTCCTATATGCCTCTATAACACCGTGTATCATGTCACAGAATTTATCATTATGTAATTCCTATCTTGTTATTGTAGCAGAAGATCCTGAAGATTGTGATGGTGATTTATTCAGTGGTGTCTACCTAGAATCTAGCAAAGTAAGCACTCAAACGTATGTTGAATGAACAACAAAAGACACAAGATAACCTAATTTCCCTGAACAAGGAAGAATAAACCATACTTGTTAACATTACAAGAGACAAATGCCATGATCACATACACACAGTGTATAAGAACAAAGATACCTTTTTTTGGTGCTTTGTCAGTGTTTGTTTCTGGAGCTTCGACTTTCTTCCCTAGCCTCTGTGCAAGGCTACGCTTCAGTGGAGGATCGCTGTCACCACCTACGGACACAGGGAACTTAGTTTAAGAGTTCAAGTCAATTTTCAGCAAGGTCAAGCCATATAAGCAACAACAGACAACAGAATTATTTCTGTAAGTTTTCTGCATTTATACAGCTTGTTCACTAGCTTCCTTAGAACTCAATGTCAGAAAAGGAAAAAAAAATGCCCCAGAAAGAAAAGTTTGGGAAAGGGACAAAAAATCAGAATGCACATATCAACATTTACTAAATAACTGACTAAGAGTACAAATGAAGAATTATAAGCCCTAGTTAAGGCTGAAATTCAGAATTAGGAATAGGTGAAAAAATGTCTTCACTGGTCAACTGCTGAATTCTAAGGTAAATTTGTGGTTAAATGCACCAGGATGATTAGGAGGACAGCAAGAATAATATTTTACATTTTCCCATGAAATTAAGACTAAACACCAAACAGCCCCTCTCCTCAATTCTAGGTAAGAAATCCAAGGTTATGAAAGATTCTACTTCTACTCAAATTACCAATTAGTGATAGAGCCAAGACTTGAACTAAGTTTCCTGACTTGATATATACTATACTACTTCATACAGAGAGACGTCTAATACATTATACTGTTCAATACAAGTTGCTTAAATGTCGAAAGTTGTTAAAAATTGTTTTTGGTTTGCTTGAAGATACATCTTTGCAGAGCCCCCTTATAAAGTTGTAAGACCATATGGAGAATAGGATTTTCTTTTTCCTCTCATTTGTAATTTAAATATGAAACCAAATATCACAAAGTTTAAAGGTATGCTGACATTAAAGTAGCCTATTTCTGAATTTTAAACCTGAAATTTTTCGGTGAGAATGGTATCAAAGAAAACATAATAGGTAGGATTTTATATTTGCAAACACATTTTGAAAAGTATGAAGGAACCTCTGAAATCAGAGATTTTCAAAATAATTCTTATTACACAGACACTCTAGGGTAGGTACACAATTCAGTAATACGGTAAAATATGTCCCTAAATAGAAAAATAAATAAATTCAGGGACCAAATTTGTATTAACTGCACACTTTTAAAATCTCAAATTTCACTTTGTCCAAAGAAACAGAAGTATTTACTGTTTTTTAAACCCAGTACCTTCTAAAAAGTTGGCCATAACCTAACTAAATTGTAACACTAAAAATTTCTGTAGCTTCAATAAAAAAACATGAAGAAATTTTGTTTCAACCAAGAATACAGGGAGACCAGAGGACACTGACAGGACAGGGCATTTGCATACAGTGAGTTTTGGAAGGTAAGTTAATGCACAAAAATGCAGAAAACAAAAACAAAGGATATACCCAAAACTTATCTTACCTACTGAAAACTTTCTCTTCCCCAGTCTCTCGGCGAGACTCAATCTTACCAAGGGTTCTTCTCCTGAAATGGCAAAACAGAGTATCTCTACTATTAGCCAATTTTTCTGTATTCAGTAACTAAAGGTGGGTACAAATACACTCTGATATTAATATGAGTCCACCCAGAAAGTCTCTTGAGAGTGAGATCTCGGTCTTAAGGAAGACTATCACATTAAAAACAAAGCACAAAAAACAGATTAAACCTATTAAATAATAATTTAAATAACCAGAACCACAGCCCAAAAGGAAGCAATAGCACAATCCTAATTATTAATAGTAGCCAACTATATGAAGAGAGGTTGTGTTCTAATCAACTGGTTGTAAAACTCAACTAATACTTTTGCTTGCACTTTAATGTTAAAAGAAATTGTACTCCACTCCACCGCTAAGGCTCCTGTGTAACCCTTCCTTGATCACCCAAGCAAAAAGTGAGCTTTCTTCTGATTCTTTGTTGTGTGAATGGCACATTTAAATGTACCTGCATACTACAATTACTTGTGTCACATCCCTTACTAGGTTTAAAACTATTAAGGGAAAAGACTTCTTCATTTCTCTGTAACATTTTTCTGTTTATCACAGTTCTTTACCCACAATGGGCAGTCAATAAATTTGTTGAATGGATACACACAAACAGTAAGTGTAAAAAATTAAATATACAGAAACGTGAGAGCAGCCTGAACAAGAACTTCAAACTTTTAAACAGTAGAATCAAATGCACTGATATTTCTTTTCCTCCTTGTATGTGAGCAACATACTAACATCTTCCTGTAAATCCATCAAAGGTAAATACACCCAAGGATTTTGCTTTCCCAGTTATTTAACAGTAGCCTGACAGCTCTTAAGACCCACCTATACCTCACCTTGTTTGCTGGACAGAGTTACTGTCCTCACCACAGTCCGGACGTTCTCTTTTTCAGGACTTGGAATGGGCTGAGGTTGAAGTAAAAGACTGGAAGCTCCCGAAGAACCTTCTAAATAAGGCAAGTCAAAGAACAGCAAATAATTTACGGAAAATAAAGCTACTGAAAGTCAAGAATTTTTATTTTTATGTTAAGTCCAGTACAGACCACTGGGTGATTACAAGCCAATCAATCTTTCTGCTCTTACTAGCTTAGCCTACAGTGAATTGGGGTGATAATCCTTATTTCTTACTTGCCTTGGGCACAATGTGAAAAAAAAACATAAAATTATTTTGAGTGACTTAGGCACTCAATCTACTTTTACTTATCAGTAAGGTTAATATTATTTTAATGTTAATCTCAGAAGCACACCAGCCATCAGGTGCGTCAATTCGGCTGTTTAAAATCTATGTTCAATCACCTACAAAACAAACTCCAAGATTTCTACAGAGCAAGCTCTACCACAAGGGTACTCAGAACCAACCATCTGATTATAAATACTACTTCGCATATCACATGTAAAATTTTTGAGGTTGGAAATCTAGAACAACCAGGCTGAGGCAAGCTCCAGTAAAGAATTCATCTACTACAAAATCAAGTTTTTCCTCTTTTAAAATGGTTTACATGGTGTTCTCTGGAGTTTTACTTCTCAAGATAAACAAGTTATTTCAGCTCTTTATTGTACATGCCTTGCCCTAGTTAGCTACTGAAACACAGCAATGAATTAAAACAGGAACCATGATTTAAATATGCCCGTGTTTTATTTCAAACAAGCCATGGAAGTCAAAATCAAATTGCTCGTTGTGGCTGTGGCCAAGTGTCCCCATCACCAAAAGTGTCCCTGTTACTTTTTTCTAGCACCATTCAACCATCTGTGTCAAAACTTGATGACTTACCACCTTGTTTCTTGGATTTTTCCTTCATTTTCTTTGACTTAATTTCCTCAAGAGTTTTTATTCCAAAATTCAAACATTCACCTGAGAAAGCCAAGTAGAAATCACATGAGGAACTAGCACCTTTTCATCTTTGAATTTTACTAATGCTCAGCAGGCATTCAAATGCTTTCTGAATGAGTAAGAAAAAGTCTATGTAAGTATGTGTATGTGTATAACAGGTACAGGGAACAGGAAGGTGGTGGTGGTCGTGAGCTAATTTCAAAGGTATTTAAGACAGTTTAAGCACATTCAATAGTGCTGTGAGATTTATGAGCAGGAACTAGCATTACTGTAGGCTCTTCTTACCTTGCTTTAAATTGACCCCAGGTTTCCGGGCGGAAGCCACTCGTAATCCATTATGAACTTCGGGAGTTGGTAGTGTAGGTGTTTTGGTTTCATCACCTTCCTCAGAAAACTGATCTATAGTATCAAAATTTAAGGCAAATATATAATTAACAACAGGCCTAGAGCTTTGACCCTGATTCTGTCATATACACTAAAGAACCCTGATCATTCCTTTGCCTTAAGGAAAGTGCAAAACGTACCGTCATCATCTTCATCATCATCTGCAGCATTGATTACAACTGGTGGATGTGTGGGGCTAGGAACATTTTCTGAACTTTCTACTTTCATAACGCTTCGCAGCTGAGGGGAGGGATTGGACTGGACAGACAATTTGCTCTGCTGAACTGTGAGCGGGCTGGCCTTCGCGTCCTCTTCTGCTGACTCAGGCACAGTGGGCAACACAGCTGGACATCAAAATCAGTCATGAATGAAAGATAGAAGACACAGTCCTAACTCATCAAAAATCCCCGACCCCTATGTAAGTCTGGTGCATTTTCCTTATGAGTGTTTCTGTCTTTTTACCCAATTTCTCCATTCTCCCAATTAGGCTTCTCAACTCCCAGGGAGGGAAAATGTGGCTTTTAGCTAGTAACTCTTTACTGTACATAAACACACTCAAAGCAGGCACTCAAAACACAGGAAACTGGGGGCCAGATGCATAGTAACTGCTTGCAAATTCTAGACACTTAACATTTAAATTCTAGGGTTTTTTTCTGCAAAAAAGTAGCTTTTAAGAGATAATAGATGACACTTTGGAACCAAACCAGAAAGCAGTGAGTCTACTTTTTTCCCCCTAAGTAGAGGTGAAAATATGCAGCAATCAAATTTTAATCACATCACAGATGTGGGTTTTAAATATCATTCCAATAGGAAATTACATTAAAGGGGACTATGGAAATAAATACTTGCTTTTGGCAGGATGTAAGTTTTATTTTAGATATAGCCTAGAGCAAAGTTGACAAACTTGTTCTGTAAGGAGCTGGATAGTAAATATTTGGGACTTCATAGATCTCTGTCTCGAGTACTCAGCTCTGAGGCAGTAGCAAAAAATATGACCACAGATAGTGTGTGGAGAACGGGCATGGCTTCACTCCAGTAAAACTTTATTTTATATAACAGGTGGAGGAGATTTGCCAAGCCCGGGCCTGGAGAATCAAGTTTCTTTTGAAAAGCTTATTGTCTGAAAAGGAAATGAGCAATGAGGCTATAGTAATCTAAACTGTGCTGCTGAGAAACATTTGTGAGGCTTTTGGCAACAAAGTTTTAATTGTGACTCTGATACTTACTTACTGGTTTATGGCTAAAAGTTTAATCTGGTTAATCATTTAATCTGTTTAATCAATTAAATTAAATCATTTAATTTCATTCAAATTTAATCTAGTTAATCATTTAATTGTAATAAAGTTCAGTTCCCTCAATTGTAAAGGGGAAATTAGAGGCTCTCACGAAACTGAAAGAAGGCAATGTATATAATCTGTAGTTTGCACAGCAGGTGGGAATTAAATAGTAACTATTCTTTTAAAATTAGAAATGGATCTCACTTTTGCTTGGAGGTAGGAAAAGGCCATCAACATAACGTCCTCTGTTGTGATGAAAAGCACAGTTTAGCTTTTGACATCCCATTGGCTGATTTTCCCAATAACACGGAATCTCACTGCGTTTTTTCTGTAAGGGAAAAGTACATTGTTTTCAAATTTTAAAAATGAAGTGTGACTTCTATTAATTTGGTCATTTGTTTTCCGGACAAAGTTCATACATGGTTCAAAATCCTGAGGCAAATGAGATGATTCTGAGCAGGAGGAAGAGGGGTTGCTGAAAGTGATGTACTTTAGGCATGATGGAAAGATGAAGGGATCTAGGAAATAGTTTACCTGCTACTCTTTTCTCCTTGCCCTCATTCTGGAACCCCTACATGTCTACACTTAATTTAGAGAAGCAGGATAACACATTACTTATGATTATGGAATCAAAGATAATTATAATTATGCTTACTGGCCATGTGATATTGGACAAACATGTTAATGCCTCTAAGTGTCACTTTTCCTTAGTTACAAAATGGGTATATTTGGTTTCTTATGAGAATTAAATAAAAGAACATATATGAAGCACTTAGCATATATAAAGGACTCAATAAACTGTAGCTATTATTTGGAGCTGAAGGCTTTGAGAAAAATTTTCCCATTTGTGACTTCTCAAAGGCACATGGAACACTAAGGATGGTATTTTTCTTCCTCAAGCTACCTCACTCTTATGAATGAATATGAAGAAAAAAAAGAATACTTGCACATCTAGAATAAACTGCTGGGTCACAGGATGTATGTTCAAAAGAAATACTTATATTAGTTCTAAAATTTACCTTAGATGTGTAGAAAATGTCCAAAGCATTACTATTTGTAACAGCTTCAGAATGGAAACAACCCACATGTATATCACCACTAGAGCGGCTAATACACTGCAGCCGTGCAACAGAACGCTCTACCGTAAAAGAAGGTAAGACCCGCTGCTACTTTCAATACCATAGAGGTAGAGTAAAAGAAAAGAAGCCAGACACCACAGAACACACAGTGTGTGATTTCATTTCTGTAGAGATCAAACCAGGTAAAACTTCTCTACGGCAGAGTAGTCAGGATAATGAGCAGCTTTGGAAGTGTGGTTTGTGACAATGAAGGGATGAAGGGGAACACAGAGTGTTAGAAAAGCAAGCACATTCGACTTGCTGAAAATTGTTCAAGTTGTAAGAATATGATTTATGCACCTTTCTACATATACCTTAATAAACAGTTCAATGGAGAAAAAACAGAGCTGTTAAGAACTTCACTTCTCAAAAGTAACTAACCTCTGGTTAATAACCTGAATTATGTTGGATCTCTCATCACAGTAAGCAGCTTAAGGTTTAAAATTCAAAGAAAGAACAACATCATTACTTCAGAAACTTAGAAATATGGAGAGAACAACGACCCTTACAAAAAGATCCTTAGAAGTAACAAAGAGGGCAAAGATCAAAATCCACTTTATTGAGATTGGCAGTTTGACAGGACACTGTGATGGCAGGAATGCGGAGGAACCACGCAGCCCTACATACTGACAATGGAAATGGAAATGAGCTCAACATCTCTGAGAGGCAATCTGGCAAAAATTATTTTAAAAATGTCCTGAGTTTACAGCCACATGTATGACTAATTGTATTTTAAAAGTACAGCAAATACCTTTACCTTTCAACAAACTTGATAACATTTAATAGTCTCAGGTCACACCCAAACGATATGTACAATACCTATCATGTTTTAGATAGGAGTAACAACAATTATTCAATTACTCCTTCTTTACAGCAGAACCAGTGCCAATATGCCTTGCTCCTGGGCCTGTCTTTGCTTAAGTTTGTCTTTCTTTCCTGGAAGCAATTTTCAAATTACTGGGTGACTTTCACAGTAGTATCCTCAATAACAGAAGTCACATGATGTATGTTTGATCTGTTGAATACACTGTCTGGATTTTGTTTCTAAATGCAAAGTAATAGACTAGCAACAAAGTTGGGAAACAGAAATAAATACTATTACTCAAAGTACTCAATGAGAATCACTTATTTTGGTAGAGGATTTCCTTGCCTTTAAAAACAGCTGTACACTAAACTATGTTTTCTACCTTTATCTTGCATCTACCTACCACTTCAGCATTTTATTAAAAATAAAAATAATAATAATAATAAAGGGAGAAATGTGGGATCAACATATAAATCAAGTACAAAAATCAAACGAATATTCATATTTGACCTGATTGTTTATAGGTCATAATGCGTGATCAAAATGAAAGTTTCTGTGATGAATGCCCTTGTACTGTTCACCATGTAAGAATTTATTCACTATGTAAGAATTCGTTCACCATGTAAGAACTTGTTCGTTATGCTTCAGAAGATTGGAGACTGATGAGAATTAGGCTTGAGATGGATTAATGATTGTACATTGAGCATTGACCCCCCTATACTGAATTTTATTGTTGTTAACAACCATTTGATCAATAAATATGAGAGATGCCCTCTCAAAAAAAAAAAA